AAAAAAAAAAAAAATCCTATTAAAGTACTTGCGTCGAGCATCATATGCACCAATGTAAGCATTGTATTATTTTGCACGCGCACCCAGACTTGCGGCGTGACGGGCCGCTCGTACACCTTCGGCGCGGCGCGAGCCCTGAGCAACCTGGGGGCCCAGTCGCTGCTGACTAAAACTAGCCTCCGGCCGGGCGAGCGCATGGCCCTACTGCTGCCCAACATCCCCGAGTACCTGATCGCCGTGCACGCTGGACTGCAGGCCGGCCTCGTACTCACCTTTGCCAATCCGCTCCACACCGTCGACGAGCTGGCGCGGCAATTTCGCGACGTCGCTGTCAGGTGCATCGTCACCGTGCCCCAGCTCCTCGGGGTTGCCCAAACGCTCGCCAAACGGCTCGACGGCTACGACTGCACCATCAACATTGGCGGCCAAGACAAGCCCCAGGATAGGTAAGGGCCATGCTTTTTACCATTAATTGTATATGTATATATATTTTCTATGAAATAGCGACTACAGAGACGAAGACGCGTCATAAATTTCGTGGTGCGTGAATTTTTATTTCAGCACAACGCCGGAGTAGATATATTATGTAGGCCAATAAATTCATCAAAATGCCAACAAAAGTCCTTAGTATTTGGAAAGAGAAAAACTATTCATAAAGCTTCTCTTTGTGGATAAACCAAAGTATACATCAATTCGTCGTTAAAATTAAACTCGATAGTTATAATATATTATGTAGGTATATATCATCGACTTATTGGATGTGAGGTGATAAGAGATGACAAATTTTTAATAGTGATGGTACATCGTAATCTACGAATGATAATTGTTACAAATAAAAAACAAACTTAAACAGTAAAGATAAAAATAGATTTTTCTTCCGATTACTCATTTTTAACTTTCCCGAAAGTGTTAAAATACGACCACCTATGAACAACTATATTAAGGTGGTCAACTCGTGAACATATTTTTTATAAACGACCATCAACGAAATGTTAAGCCGTAACACTTGTCAAGTATATCCTTTTTATTGAGAGTCCCCGTAGAATTATATGCAGTTAGAAATACCGATCTCGTGAAAAATCGCTAGAAGAATAAAAGTCGCGCGTAAACGATTTTTTTTCACAGAATCCTAGCCCTGGAGAGCCTGGCGAAGCCGTCGCGGGGCGTCGAGCTCCCGGACATCGATCCCCACAGCTTGGCCGTGCTGCCCTTCAGCTCGGGCACGATGGGCCTGCCCAAGGGCGTGATGCTGACTCACTCGAACTTGGTCCACAACATCGTTCAATTCTCCCACCCGAGCTTCCCCCAGGGCGGCGACGCTGCGATCGATCAGCGCAACATCTTCACCATACTCCCGTTCTTCCACATCTTCGGATTCAACGGTATCCTCAACTATCTCACCTACATCGGCATGAACGTCATCACGATTCCCAAATTTCTGCCAAAGGACTACGTGTCCTGTCTGGCCGAGTACCAGCCCAGTGCTCTGTTCGCCGTGCCGTCCCTCATGCACTTTCTCGCCACTAGTCCCGAGATCTCAGCCGGTGAGCACCTGGCCAACGTTCGGGACGTCTTCTGCGGGGCCGCTCCGCTCAAGCGGGGCCTCATCGACAACTTTTACCGGAAGATCGGTCGCACCGACTGCTGCGTTTGTCAAGGTGCGGTGGTATGATAACAAGGTCGTAGAGAGCGTGGAAAATGCGGTGATAATAATTTTCATCCATGAGTAGGCTATGGAATGACGGAGACGAGTCCTGGAGTGATCGTCACGCCTTACACGATATCAGAGTCAAAGCACGGTTCCTGTGGCCAGCTACTGCCCTCGACTCGGGCGAGGGTCGTTGATTTGGACACGGGCGATGATTGCGGGCCGAACGAGCCGGGTGAGCTGTGGATCAAAGGGCCCCAGGTAATGAGGGGCTACTGGAACAACGCGAAGGCGACCACCGAGACCATTGACTCCGAGGGGTGGCTGCACACCGGGGACGTTTTCTATTACGACGAGGACGAGTACTTTTACGTGGTCGATCGCACCAAGGAACTGATCAAAGTGAAAGGGAATCAGGTGAGCGGTGGTTCGGGGCTTTGACGCTAAATCACGAAATCAATCCTTTTTTTTTTCTTTTTTTTTTTTTTCATCCTTTTGTTAGTAATGTCCGTGTATTTTCCTATAAAATAATTATACACAGCTATTCGTAAATTTTACTGGTTTACAATTATATATATATACTGTTATATGTATTGAAACAAATTATATTTTTATCTGCATGGGTGATAAGTGTCTAAAAAATGTACACACACTCGTAAATATTATTATATGCAATTGTGCAATAGAGGTACGCGTGTGTGCACGCAAAACGTATTTTTAAGATTGTAATAAATGTGTACATATTATTATGAAATAAAAAATTAAAGACTTTTATTCATCATGTTACTCTGTGCCCAAAAAAACCATTTCATATAACAAATATTACCGTTAAAAGCAGAGCGCCGATAAGCTCAATGGATTCGCGTTTTGATATAGTGTAAAAAAGCAGTAAAGCGGAAGTAAATTTTTAAATCTATAGCATCTCTAAACTTTGTGGCTTTCGATTTACAATAAATTTAAACTGTCAGAATTATATGGCCAGTACTTAGTTGTGACTCGATAATATGCAGGATTTTAAATAATACTGAGGTGTAACTACTAATTGAGTAACTTTTGTCGCTATGAAATATAAACACTCGTTTAGTCATTTCCTGTTCATTTTTATAAATATTTTCTCAATTTACATTTAACTGCCGAGTAATAAAAGATCATAGTTTTTAAACTGATTGGCTTCAAAGCCCCTGAATTTTCGTATACTTGAAAGGTTCCAAAGACAAAAAAAAGTTTCCAATCGACAATGACTAAGTCTCAAAAATATATCACAAACAAACTTGTTATCTTTTCCAAATTGTTTTATCTTTTAATTTGTAAAGACTCATTAAGCATGTTGCATTTAAATCTTAAATGGTAGTGGTACTGATAAACGGCAGAAAAATTGTCTAAAGCTATATATCAAGTGTTTTACTAGCTTATTTATTTCACACGCGCGTTTTTAAGCACTACTTTAAATAATACGAATAAGTTTTTGACTACTTTTATCAGGCTTTTTGTGGTATAACGAGCTAATATTCAGGATATTAAATTGTTGAAAGCAAATATTTAATCGTTTCTAAAGTCCCACAGTTTGAAACAAAATTTTTTTTATTTTGATGATCACGGAATACATTTCGCGATATCTGCATTATTTACGGAGACATGGCGATTTTAATAGATTATTTACAGTTAAAAAAATATTGAACTCGAAGGATAGCCATGTTTTTGTTACCCCCACATCACGAAATCTTAATTATAATTTTTAAAACTTATAATGTCGGTGGTACCAGAAAATACTAATAAAAAAATATTTAGAAAAAGTGCAAAAGCATTTCTTGAAATATTTGACAAATTCTTTTTTTTTTTTTTAGGCACGTGTAGCGTCATCCGCTTGTAGTATATT